ATTCTCACATCCATACATAACTACTGAAAAAATCATAGCTTTGACTAGATGGACCTTTGTCAGCAAAGTGATGTCTCTGCTTTTTAATACACTGTCTAGATTTGCCATAACTTTTCTCCCAAAAGTAAGCATCTTTTAATTTCATGGCTGCAGTCAGTTTGCAGTGATTTTGGAGCCCAAGAAAATAAAGTCTGTCACTGTTTCCATTGTTTCCACATCTGTTTGCTGTGGAGTGATGGGACTAGATGCCATGATCTTACTTTTTTGAATGTTGAGTTTTAGGCCAGCTTTTTCACTCTCCTCTTTCACCTTCATCAAGAGGCTCCTCAGTTCCTCTTTGCTTTCTGCCATAAAGGTGGTGTCATCTGCATATCTGAGGTTATTGATATTTCTCCTGGCAATCTTGATTCCAGATTGAGCTTCATCCAGCCTGTTACCATATTTAGGCCTTAATAATTATATCAAATAAAACTCAATTTTCTCTTGGGTTATTAACTGACCACGCCTCTCTCCCCTTTTTGTTGTAACATGGGAGATCTTAACATAGGTAACAAAACCAGACTGACATTTAGTTGATTCTCTCTGTCTCCCTTTGATGCCTCCTAGGAATACCAGTGGCTGGGGGATCAGAGATGCCTTTACTTGAGCTATGGAGTGAGAAAACTTCAAGTGAGAGGCATCTCCAGGTACTGGAGCCAATCTACAGTTGGTTAATTCCCATGTAGGTATCAGGAGCTAACTGACCAAACTAATAGTCATTGCCCAAACTTATATTTTCCTGGAGGAGGGCATGGCAACCCACTCCAGTATTCTTGCCTAGAGAATCCCCGTGGACAGAGGAGCCTGGTGGGCTACAGTCAATGGGGTCACAAAGAGTCAGACACGACTGAGTGACAAAGCAGAAATTTATATTTAAGCTTTTTTTAAAAAAACAAAATGAAGTATGTATGTAGAAAATAATTCTAGTAACAGTGGCAGTTTGTTCACTTCTAAATACTTGGTGGTGGTTACTTTTCTTTCTTTTGTTTTTTAAAATAGGGAGTTGAGATTTTTAAAGTTAAGTATGAATTTTTCTGATCTTACGTACAATGTGGCCATTTCAGTAGCTATAGCATATAAATATACATTGTTTCTTTTACAATATCATATTTGTTCCAAAATAAGACACTGATTAGTTCTAACAGAATACATTAAAATGAAATTCTAAATACTATTTGACAGTCTAGTACAATCTGAGTTTTTAAATGGTGGAGTTTTTATTTATTTATTTATTTATTTATATTTTGCCCTAGCTGTGCGGCTTCTGGGATCTACTTCCCGATCAGGGGTCGAACCCAGGTCCCCTGAAGTGGAAAGGTGGAGTTCTAAGCACTGGGCCACCAGGGAATTCCATAAAAGGCAGACTTTGATAGATTATACAGTTTTCATATCTTTTTAAAAAGTTACTTATTAATATATATAGCATATATAAGCCCCTTAAATACATACATACATACATGTTTTATATATATATATATATATATATTTAAGGTACTGCTATATGTGGGTACTGTTTATACTGCTATAAAAGATAGCAATGTTGTTTTTTATATTATCATGCTAATATTTAAGAAACCAAAATCCAAAGGAACCATGGTTGATGTCTTCATGTAACACCAAAAAATCTAACTTTGTGTATTTGCTTTTCAATTGATGTTTTAATTTGAGGAAATAAAAATTTGAAGGGCATTCACATAAAAGTGATTTTAGAGCCTAAGATGAAGCTGTTACAGACCACTAAACTTGTCAGTATGTTTTAGACCAGCAAACTCTAGTGTAATTTACATGTAATGAGGTTTTCATAAATATGGCTAAATAGATTATAAATTTGCCATTTCTGACAAAGGAAAGTGATCTCAAGGTGAAGCAAGGAAGATCTATGTACACTTAAGACAACATTTTACCAAATACTGAATTGTCAAATAGAACTAATGTGAGAGTATATCCACTGATTGGAGAAATATTTCTTTAGTGTCTACTATGCACCAGAAACAGTTCTAGGTGTGAAGAGAGAGTTGAACAAAACAGACCAGTTTCTTACCTTCATTAGTTGTGGAGACAGGTTAAGTCAGGTTGGTCACAACATGGGATACAAAGCACAACAGAGCAAATGTTGAATTGGTGTCATTCTCTATTCCAGGAATAGAACGGGTGTTTTCATGTAACATACCAGCTGGGTGTTTTCATGTGATGTATCAGCTCCGTATATCCACCCCATACCCCTGAATTGAGAAAGAGTGTATGTTACACCCTGGCTGTGGGGGAAGAGGGTTGCGATTGCGTGTTAATGAGCGCCACTGTGGGTGGGATGAGGAGTGGTGGCTTGTGTACTTTGATATCAGACAGACCTAAGTTCAAGGCCTGGCTCTGGCACCTACTAAATGAATAAATTTTAGGAGAGTTATGTAGCTAATGTGTACTTGTCCCCTCTTCTCTAAAGATGAGAAGAATTGACAGAGTTGTTATGAAAATTAGAAACTCTAAAAGATGCTCAGAAAATGCTGATTCTCATCTTTTTATCTTACCTTTGTTTTCTTATATGTAAAATGGTGATGCCATTTTACTAGCCTTGTCTATTATTGTGAGAACTAAATAAATGAAATAAATATATGAAACCACTTTAATATGGTTTATTATGCGCTATCTTTCTCTCCCTCTGTAGTCGCTAAGTCATGTCCGACTCTTGCGACCCCATGGACTGTAGACTGTCAGGCTCCTCTGTCCATGGGATTCTCCAGGCAAGAATACTGGAGTGGATTGCCATTTCCTTCTCCAGGGGATCTTCCCAACCCCGGAATCGAACCCGGGTCTCCTGTATTGCAGGCAGATTCTTTACCGGCTGAGCTATGAGGGAAGCCCCATTATGTGCTATTACTATATGTTATTTCTGGAAATGTAAGATTTTCAGACTCTTGGACAACTGGGGAATAGAAGAACTCATGGATTCTTCCAGAACTGAGAAGCCATGGATCCCCACATTAGCAAGCCAGTATTAAAACAGTTCGGCTACATTTTGTGTGTTTTTTTTCACCTTTTGATTATCAGCCAGTAGCTAACCTGCTCCTCAGAGTAGCCCTCTTTTCTTCACATTCCAGAGAATCTGTACTGGCCCAACTTGGGCACTGGTATTTGGGCAGAACTTTCATGCCCAGCCACATCTGGGCAGTTGATTGATTGATGTGTAGAGTGGGTGCCCTTGGGTCTGGTGTTTGCTCATGCTTATCGAGGCCTCATCTTACTTGCTTTGTGGGGGCTCTGAGGCAGGAGTTTCCCTCAGAAGGTAGCTGTGGTCACTGCAGGCACTAAACGGAGCTGTTTAGGAATGTGTTCTGATTATTAAAGGGATTGGAGAAATCGGAATAGGCTTTATGGCAGGAAGGTGGCCTCTGAGATTTCTTAAACTGCAGGTAATTATTTTGTCCTTTTAATTTTAATAAGTAATGATTTGTATTTCTTGGAATCAACTGAAAATTATTTCTTGAAGTAGCTACCAGCTGATAGATCAAGTTCTCTTTAGATTTTAGGCTACGAAAAAAAGACTTCATAAACTTTGAGTTGCTGGCAATTCAGTTGGTAAATTTTTTAAAACTTTTTATTAAAGTTTAGTTGACTTATAATGCTATGCTAGTTTAAGGTATACAGGAAAGTGAATCAGTTACATGTATACATATATCCACTCATTTTTTTCTCATATAGGCCATTACAAGAGTACTGAGTAGAGTTTTCTATGCTGTAGTCCTTATTGAAAGTGAAAGTAAAGTGAAAGTTGCTCAGTTGTGTCCGACTCTTTGTGACCCCATGGACTATACAATCCATGAAATTCTCCAGGCCAGAATACTGGAGTGGGTAGCCTTTCCCTTCTCCAGGGAATCTTCCCAGCCCAGGGATTGAACCCAGGTCAACTGAATGGATTGAACCCAGGTCTCCTGCATTGCAGGTGGAGTCTTTACCAAATAAGCTATCAGGGTAATAATGATCAAGTAGATATGAAAAAGATGGAAAAATTTTGTATATATATTTATCAAAAATACTGGAGTGGGTAGCTGTTCCCTTCCCCAGGGGATCTTCCCAACCCAGGTATTGAACCCAGGTCTCTTGCATTGTGGATGGATTCTTTACCATCTCAGCCACCAGGGAAGCCCATAGTCCTTATTAGTTATCTGGTTTACATGTGGTAGTGTATATGTATCAGTCCCAGTCTCCCAGTTCATCCCTGCCCCCTGCCATTTCTGGTAAACATATGTTTGTTTTATCTATGACTCTACTTCTGTTTTGTAATTAAGTTCATTAGTACCTTTTTTAGATTCCACATATAAACAATGTCATATGATATTTGCCTTTCTGTGTCTGATTTATTTAGTATGATAGTCTTCAGGTCCATCTGTTTTGCTTCAAAGGGCATTACTTTGTTTCTTTTATGGCTGAGTAATATTCCTTTGTACATAACATACCACTTCTTTATCCATTCCTCTGTTGATGTACAGTTACATTGCTTCCATGTTCTGGCTATTATGAATAGTGCTGCTATGAACATTGGGATGCATGTGTCTTTTCAAATTATGGTTTTCTCTGGGTATATGCCCAGGAGTGGGATTGCTGGGTCATACGGTATTTCTAATATTTTAAGGACTCTTCATGCTGTTCTGCATAGTGGCTATACCAATTTACATTCCCACTATCAGTGTAGAAGGGTTTCCTTTTCTCCACAGGTAAATTATTCTTGATAACTCAAAATTTCACCCAAGTTTTAGAGATAACTTTGATTTAAAACAATTTTTTTTCCAGATGTAAACCCTACTTAACTTCTCCCAGCTTCTCCTGTGTTTCATTGTTAAATTTGTGAACTATTTCTTAAAACAATTTGATAATAGCCGACTAGTATTTTAGAAGTACCTACTAATGTTTATAATATATACTTCACATATTTATTTAGCAAAATTAAACTCTTTTTTTTCTTCCAGGTAATCTATCCTCAGCATTCCAAACTTACTGATAAAGAAGTAAGTAACTATATTGCTCTAGGTTGTTTACTGTTGTACTTCTGTTTTTATTGGTGTATATGTGTCAGCATATATAGTTTTTGTTTTCTTTTTCAGAAAACCAATATTTGCTATTTGTCTTTTCCAGATTCAAATTCAGGTAACTATTTTTCATGTGGTGTTTCTGTTGAATTTTATATTGAGAATACTGATTTTTTTCTTAATATGGGAAAATAAAATAGCATAGTAGAATGCAAAGTCATTTTCAGCCTAACGGATTAATTATTTTGATTCCTAGTTTATGATGTCTAGTTACATCTTACTTTTATGTTGGTGTTAGTTGTTAAACTTTTAAAGTAACTGTTAACTTGTAATGAGGTAAAATAGCATGGAACAATAAACTGTTGAAATAATGGAGAGCCTGAAAATCAGCAACATTGGTATGTTTGAGGATTTATAGTAAGTAGTTTTCTTTTAGTTCCAAGAACTCTGTAAAAGTAGGGATTTAAAAAATATCAGGGTAAACATGGTTATAAAGCCTGGCCATCAGTTATTTGCATAAGTTTATATGAGTTAGTATATATAAAGCATTTGGAATAGCGCTTGACTATAGAAAGCACTTTATAAGTGTTTGCTATTATTAAACTTGGTTTTGCTGGTCTCTTTCAAAACTCTCTCTTTGTGTGACCGTAATTGTTGAAATCTTTCAGGTTGCCTTTTGTGTTTCACTTTCAAAATAGTTTTTCAGGCTTATAGTGACCAGAACACAACTTCTTAGACCACACAGTTAGAATCCTGTGACTCAAAGGCACTTCAGATTCCTTTTCCTTTTGTGGTTACTTCTAATATCCTGTTAATTTAGTTTAGATAATCTGATCTGGGAGACTTGACATTTTAGTTTTTTAAAGCATTTTCTCTTTTCCTTATAAATGCTTCCAGAGTTTTTTCCTATACGTTTTGAACTCAGCTTTCATGAAATATGTAAGAAAAAAAAATTTAGTAAAAAAAAAAGATGGCTTTGAGAAATCCCAGGAGGACTTTTGTTGTGATCTGGATTATCAGACTCTTTTTGCATGTTTTGCCTGTTAATGAAAGAATGATAGAGGCCTAATAGTTTCTCTCCTTATTTCATGTAACATTTTCCTTACAAAGCGCATACATGTAGTTCTGATTTAGTGAGTGTTGGATTGGACTTCCAAGATTCAGGGTCAGCTGAGTTGTATGGATTACAGGATGAACAGACTTTATGTGATTGGAATCCCAGTGGATTACCCTGCACACTCTTCTCTTTCAGATCATGGCTGGTTTTCATGGCCCTCTTTCACCTCTCTCAGTTTATTTCAGTCGCTCAGTCGTGTCCGACTCTTTGCAACCCCATGAATCGCAGCACACCAGGCCTCCCTGTCCATCACCAACTCCCGGAGTTTACTCAGACTCATGCCCATCGAGTTGGTGATGCCATCCAGCCATCTCATCCTCTGTCGTCCCCTTCTCCTCCTGCCCCCAATCCCTCCCAGCATCAGGGTCTTTTCCAATGAGTCAACTCTTCGCATGAGGTGGCCAAAGTACTGGAGTTTCAGCTTCAGCATCAGTCCTTCTAATGAACACCCAGGACTGATCTCCTTTAGGATGGACTGGTTGGATCTCCTTGCATTCCAAGGCACTCTCAAGAGTCTTCTCCAACACCACACTTCAAAAGCATCAATTTTTCAGTGCTCAGCTTTCCTCACAGTCCAACTCTCACATCCATACATGACCACTGGAAAAAGCATAGCCTTGACCAGACGGACCTTTGTTGGCAAAGTAATGTCTTTGCTTTTTAATATGCTATCTAGGTTGGTCATAACTTTCTTCTCTACATGTGCATAAAAACTAAGACATTAATTGGATAGTCTTCTTTTGTAGTTTTGTAGTTAGTCTCTGTATGAGTCATTTTCTTATTGGAAGGTAAACTCAAGTGTAAATCTGTGAAAATGAGAATTTGTTCAGGGAATTCTCTGGCGGTCCAGTGGTTAGGACTCCATGGGGCCAAAAAGAAGAATGTGTTCGGTATTTTAGGCATTTGAATGACCTATGTATGTTTTGTAATGCCTTTTTATAGGCTGCACATCAAATGAAGTATTCAAAGTATGGTTGGTGCTTAGAAGTAAAGTTGACAAAAGATCTTAAAAATCAGCGACTTGCCATCTTAACAGATGAATATTAATCTAGACAGCAAGAGACTCTGCATTTTGCACATATTTGAGATCACTCTTCTCAACTGTGATTATCCAAATAGTTTGTTTCACTTATGCGTTCATTAAATGGAAGCTGAAGTCAGTACCATGCCAACTTTGGAATGGATTTGATTTTTCCCAAGATAGCTGTATTGTTGCAGAAGATGGAGTAGAGCAGTCTTTAGGAGAGAATCATAATCTAGCTTTAGTTTCCATGGTGCACACTTAAAAAGAAAGCAAAAAGCATTTAGACTTTGTGGTATATTCTACAGGTAACAAAGAATTGGGGATTCTTAATGGGAGGATTTGGCAGTCCACTTCCTCTCTGCACTGCCAACGCACACATCTTAGATACTGTGACTTTAGAAAAAAGTTTGGTTTGTTTTTAGATTTCAGTCTTTTGTTCCATTTGAATGGCTTTTATCTTTAGGAACCTATGTTTAAAGGATGTTTTATGTCTGATAAATATTTGTCAGCTATTTTCTCATTATTTACTATTAATATCATTTGGATATATGCATTCCTGAGCCTTAAGTTGTGATGAATACCCAAGGACTATAATCACCATGTTCTAAACATGAGCAGAGGGAAAACTCAGCATTAGTAGAGAGTTTCAAGTACAGATGAATCCAAGGGAAAGATTAATCCTTATTCTGGATGGATTAGATGTACAGATAATATTTGTCTCAACAGGTTATTTTTTTTCTCTGTAAACAGCTGGGATATCGTCGTGTATTTTACACTTATTTTACACTTAGTGGTGAAAGCAGTGCTCCTCACATTCTCACGCTCATCTGTGTTGAAGGACCATTTGGATTTTTAAAAAATTTCCAATCTATTGTGGACAGTGCTTTTACAGAATGCTATATACATGAATTTTCAGAACCATGAAAAGGGGAAAAACCAAAGAAATACAAAATGAAAGTCTGGATTTGTCATGGAAATATCAAATTGCTGTAAGGGTTTCTCAATGTGTACTCTCGATTTGAGTTTTTATTCTGTCATGTGTTGTGACAAGAGTCAGTCTGTGGGCTACACTTTGAGAAGCTCTGCTCTAAACTCCTGTTTCCCAGCATTTCCAACTCTCATCACAGAGAGAGTAACTACATAGAGTTGAAGGCCAGGAATGGGGCTCATGCTTAAAGTCTCATGTTTTCTTTTATTAGTCTTACTCTGATCTGTTCTATAGCTGTTTTCTGCTAAAATAAAAATACTCTGAAGTTGTCTCTTCCCTTCAGGAAAAAATATGTAAGTTTTTTCCTCAAATCTCAGGTAATATTTTTGATATGGGAAAGTGTCTTCTGTTCACCTGTAGCTTTGCAGTCTTGGTTTGATTGGCAGATGTAGAAGATAAAATCACCTGTGCCATTGATAATTTTAAAATGGGAGGAGAGCTGTTTGTGGCATACCACATGGCATTTGTATGGGAGTTGCTGAAACTGACAGGACTGGCCCAGAAACCAGTGAGTTCAGCAACTCTTCAGTCAGAGGTGTACTTTTTAGAAGGATTTTTGTTTTTTGAGAGGAGAAGAGAAACTTTTGATTTGCTCCAGTTGGCAGTGAAGTAGCATAAAAAAAAGATTTATGAGATACAGTTCACCCTTGTAAAATGTACAATTCAGTGATTTTTAGTACAGTCACAGAGTTGTGGAACTGTTATTACCTCAGTCAGTTTTAGAAAATATTTATCACCCCCTTCATGCTCCCTTGTCCTCCTCTTCCCCTTCCCCCACCCAGCCCCAAGCAACCACCTGTCTGCTTTCTGTCACAATGGATTTACCTATTCTGGATATTTCATATTAGTGGAAGTGGTTTTTTGTGTTTTTTTTTTAATAAAGTTTTATTAAAGTATAAAGGAGATAGAGAAAGCTTCTGACATAGGCATCAGAAGGGGGCAGAAAGAGTACCCTGGAAGTGGTGTTTTTGAGGTCTATTTTAACTTGCAAGAACCAGTATGATATAATAATGTTCAAGAGTATCAGTTCCAGATTCAGACTTCTTAGGTTCTTCTAACTCTACCATTTAGCAGATTTATTTCTTCGGGTGATTATATAATTTTTTTGTGCCTCGGATTCCTCCTGACAAAGGGGACTAACAATGGGAACTTACCTGAGAAATATGAAGACCAATTAAGTTAATGTATCTAAAATGTTCATAACAGTGCCTACCACAGAGGGAGCACTCATTGAAATTGGTGCTCAATTCATGCATTGAAAGCTGAGGGTGGGTGGAACCACTTCTGAAGCAGACAAAATAACGACAAGGTTTTGACCTGGAATTCTGTTTGATTTCGCTCCTAACAACTTAGTTGTTTGGAAAAGGATGTTGGAGGAAGGCTACAGGAACTTTCTTGGTGTAAAGAATGTCAGATTATTCGTTGTTTTCGAGGCTAGTAAAGATTATGTTAGATTAATTAAAGTAGAATTTTCCTCAGGCTTTGGGGGTTTGCTGAGCAAATCTGCCATTTCCTTATTACCTGCTACTTTATCAAGGAAAGGGTTTTTATTGTTCTTAATCAAGAAGCCATGTAAAGGTATATTTTCTTTGGAGAGCTGCCATTTAAATCTTAAAATTTGTGTAAATTCTTTTTTTTTTTTATAAAATTTGTGTAAATTCTTTATTCCTTGATTTTAATAAAGAAAAAGTAATTTCCATTTACTTTTTCCCGCTTTTTGTTAATAATCAGAAAGCTTTGGTACACGTCGCATGACTTTTAGGTCTTTTTGGATCTTTATAGGTCTTTCATTTTCTTAGTGAATATATTGGGTAAGATGCTTGGTATTCAGTAGAATCATGGTTGTGGAGTTTCATTTTAGAATTATTGAATATAACTGCCGAAAGTGACTTTTGAGATCACGTTATGATGCCTCTTACTTTTGTTGACAAGTCACTCAGGCTAAGTAACCTGTAGAAGGCTAATTACTGATGGACCTGGGACTAGCTCCCCTTGATCGTGGCTCCTTTTTCCTCAGATTGTAACTTTTCCCTCACGTTCACAGTCATAGTTAACCATCGTTCATGTGTAATCATTATATTTCTTATGTAGGGGTTCACTCTATTATTAAAAATAGGCAAACTGGATGGGTCATACTAACAAGGTAGATTTATTTTTGATGAGGTTGTAGGGTATCAGGATTGCCCCACCCTCCACAGTATCATTTTCTGAAAGGCAAATATAAACAACCTGGTTGCCAATCCGCAATGCCTCTTTTCCTGTCCCATTAATAGTGAAGTCTGGATAGAGAACAAAGGTCTGCCCAGGTAAAGAGTTGATATTCCTTTAGTAACCTTTTGTGTGTGAAGGGACAGACTTCGGAAATACGAAATGGGAACCATTTACCTCAGTTCGCAGAGCCATTTACCTCAGTTCGCAGAGACATTGGCTAAAGCCTTTGTGGCTAACGCCTTTGTGACCTGGTGATCTAGCTTCCTGACCAATTCTGCACAATTTGCAGGTACAGCTGGTCACTGGAAAATTCTTACAGCATGCCCATGATTTGGGAATGGAGCTGGGTGGGTAGGGATGAAGGCCTGTGGGAACTTCATTACTTTATTTCCATAAAGCTCAGCATCCCTTCAGAACCTATACTTCTCTCTTAAAATCCATTGCATTTTCTCTGCTATATCTTGCTAAGTATCTCAGAGAAATTAGTATGTACTTCTCAGTGGATCTTTCTATTTTCTAAAGAGAAAAACTGAACTGTCTGTGTATAAATCCATCGGACTAAAACAATGCTAGGAGTATTTTCCATTATTTCCAGTCTCATGTGTTTTCCTTATTTTAAACCGTCAGCTGTAACAAGTAAAAAAACTGAATTGACTCACTCTCCAGTCCTCTTTGTTTCTTCCCTTCTCCACCAAAGAAATACTAGTTTCTGTAATTACATGTAGCTGTATAAACTGAGTTGCTTTTTAAAACACTTAAATGTAATATAAAGTTGGGTTTCCCTGATAGCTCAGTTGGTAAAGAATCTGCCTGCAATGCAGAGACCCTGGTTTGATCCCTAGGTTGGGAAGATCTGCTGGAGAAGGGATCGGCTACCCACTCCAGTATTCTTGAGCTTCCCTTGTAGCTCAGCTGGTAAAGAATCTGCCTGCAACGCAGGAGATGTGGGTTTGATCCCTGGGTTGGGAGGATTCCCTGGAGAAGGAAAGGCTATCCACTCCAGTATTCTGGCCTGGAGAATTCTGGCCTGGAGAATTGCAAAGAGTCGGACATGACTGAGCAACTTTCACTTTCCCTTCTTTTTTGAGAACTTCATGTGCTAAAGAAATAGAAGTACTTCTGTGTGTAATGCTAATATACTAATGATAGAAGTACTTCTGTGTATAATAATAGTAAGAAACTCTTGAGCACATTCTGTATTTAATATAATCTTATTAGTTCTAAATACGGTAACTAGGAAGAATCTGAGTGACAAACTACTTCTTGTGTCTTTTACTTTTTAGAGCATTTACAGTTTTTTGTAATTATTGCCTGACAAGGTAATGTTTTAAGAGGTTTGTTAAATGATTAAAGTTTTAAAGCTTTATTTATAATTGAAATGATTTAAATGGGCAGTCTTATTACTTGAACCTTCCTGGGTCTGCTATATGTCCTTTTTTTTTTTTCTTTTAAATTTTCATTGTGAAATATGAAACTCACACAAGGCCAAGACATAGAACTTTGCCAGTACCACAGAAGTTGTCTCACCTTCCCAAACACTATTTCCTTCCCCCTCTCCTAAGGTAACCACTATCCTTGATTCTTTTTTTCTTTTTATTAAAACATTGTAATGTAATTTTAATAGTTTATACTCCATTTACAGTTATTGCAAAATATTGACTGGATTCCCTTTAATGTACAATAATCATTATAGCCTCTCTCACATCCAGTAGTTTATATCCCCCACCTTCCCACTCCCTCTATTCCCCTCCCACCCCCCCACTGGTAACCAACCATTAGTTCTCTGTATCTGCAAGTCTGCTTTATTTTGTTCATTTTGCTTACAGTTTGTTTTCTTTTTTTCCCTTCACATAGAAGTGATATCATACAGTGTATGTCTTTCTGTCTGACTTATTTCACTCAGCATAAAGCCCTCCAAGTCCATCCATGTTGCTTTCAAATGGCAACTCATTCTTTTTTTCTGGCTAATATTCTATTGTGTATCTATGTGTGTGTGTGTGTGTGTGTCACATCATCTTTATCTGTTCATCTGTTGATGGACACTTAGATTGCATCCATACCTTGGCATGTAAATAATGCTGCTCTGCACACTGGGATGCATGTAGCTTTGCAAATCACTACACTGATTCTTACAGTGTTAAGTTTCTTGCTTTTCCTTATAGTTTTATCATCCAACTGTACATTCCTAAACACTATAGTTTGCCTGCTTTAAAAAAAAAACTATATAAATAGATTTGAACAATTTGTGTTCTTTTGTATTTAGTTTCTTTTGCCCATTATTATGTTTGTGAGTCAACATTACATGCACACAGTTTTCAAAAGTTTTAATTACATGGAGAAAGCAGAATAGGGAAAACAATAGAGGGACATAAGATGTTTGTTTTACTAATGACTTTGCCTCTAACTAGAAAAGATGGCTTTGAGCAAAATCACGGAAACTGTCAGGGTCTCCTTTTTCCTCTCTAAAACATGATAGAATGGGTTTCAATAATTGATAGGACCTCTTTAGCTCTAAAATATAGTGAAACTGAATAACTGATGTTATACTGTGCTGTCCTTAATTTCTTTCATTTTTGTTTTCATTAGGTTGTCTTGGAGATACCCAGTTTTGTTTTAGATTTCGACAGTCTTCTGGGAGGAGGGTGTCACTGCATTGTCTCCTGGATCAATTTGACAAAGATTTACCAGTTTACTTAAAGGTTGGAAAAGTAGTAATAGAAGAATGTCCATGTGAGAGGAAACTCTAGAACTGAGTTACCGCTTACAGCATTCAGAAATACTGTGCTTTTGTTTTCTTACTGTATTATACTGCTGGATTTCCTACGTGAGTCTAATTCATTGGGATTTAGTACGTGAGTGAAAGAGAGTTTTTAAAGTTATTGTTCTTAAAACATATTATAACGCCATTGTGAATAATAGAAATTAGAATGTTGAGGTAATTTTCTTTCACTTGTTAATAGCTTTTTGTTTAGGTGTGGAAGCAGGGTGAATATCACCCAGAGTTAAAGATTCTCTATGGTAATCCCTACCGGCTTTACAGTACAATTATAGTTGTCTCTTTTTGATTTTTAAATGAGCTTTGGTTTACAGTTATTGTCTGCTAAAAACAATGTAAATAATTCAGGTGATTCCAGAGTGTAGAATTTCTGTTTGGTGCAGTGGTTCACACTTTAACTGCATGAAGAATCATTCTATCTGGTGTCCTAGTAGCACAGCCAGTAAGAACTTGACATCTTTTCCCTCAAATAAATATTTACAGCTTACCTTCCGTGTTCTACCAGTGACCCTAATCTTCTTCCAGTAAGCAAAGCCTTTAAAAAAAAAGTCTTTAAAATCCTTTAAAATGTCTCTTACAGCCATCTCATCCTTTCCATGACCTTGGCTATCACTACTAACATATTCTTTCAGCTGCTGATAGCTTTTTTATGTTCTTGGCATTGTGTCAATAAGCGTATATTATCTTACTAATGAGATTCCCAGCTGGCTCAGAGGTAAAGAATCCACCTGCCAATGCAGAAGACAGTTTGATCCCCAGGTCAGGAACATCTCCTAGGTGAGGAAATGGCAACTCACTCCAGTATTTTTGCTGGGACAATCCCATGTACAGAGGAGCAGGGGGTGCTGCAGTCCATGGGGTCAGAGAGTCAGAAGCAACTGAACACGCACATCTTATTAATCCTCCCTATATTGTTCTGAGAAAGTTCCTTTTGCAAACTTGAGGGCTACTGAGGATTACAAAATTTGCCCAAAGACACCCATCTCCTCTCTTTTTCAGTGCAATATATTTTATACAGTGTTCCTAGCTAAAGTGTACATAATATATTACATAAAACAAATCTAAAATGATTACCTATTGCCTAATGAATAAAGAGCTAATGATAGTATTGTTTCCTGGTTCTCACTTTATAGGCCTTCCAAGATAAAACTTTACCTTTTGAATTTCCAGCTTAATCTTCTTTCTATACATGTGTCATATTTTAGCTAAATTGAACTATAGCTTTTCCCTGAGCTAGCTTGTATTTTTTTGTCATTCAAAAACATCTGCCTCTGTGAAATCTTTAATGATCACCATAGACAGGTAATCTCTTCCCCCTTGGCAGAGGAGAAAAAAAACTACTTTGTGCTTTTTTCATGGTACCTGCCCTCCTTTTACATGATAGTCATTTTTGTACTTTTCTTCTCTCTCTTAGTTTGTGATCTTCTTAAGGAACTATGTCTTAGGCATCATTTTATCTCCTCTAACACAATGCCTTATTCAAAGTAGGTGGTCAATAATATTTGTTTAAAGAATAACAAGGAACTGGGCCAGAGTTTATTCCATTAGGATATAAAAACTTTGCAAGTTTATTTGGAATGTAATTGCCTTTCAGATTGTATGTTGATAAACATTCCAGTGTTTCATTATTATTGGGTGAAAAATATAACAGTGTATATAAGATTCAGATTAGCGTTTAATTCCTTTTAGTTTCTCTCTTGAAATTTTTATTAGAATACCTCAAAAATTGTAGGCAGATTTTTAAAACATTAAGTGTACCACTGGGGAAAGCAGAATTTGATTATTTTCAACTCCGTTTACTACCACAGATATAAATAAAGAATATAAACATTAAGTTGTAGAAGATAAATCTGTATGTTAGCTTTGTACGTTAAGCTATAATTATTTCATCTTTGGGCAAGTTAGCAGGTTTCTATCTGTCAGTTATTACCATGATTGTTGTTTACATTGGTGGAAAAGTATAACTAGCTTCTTGTGTATACCTCATATCTCAGTTTGAGTTTATAAAGGAACTTGCCATTAATAGTAAAGAGTTGATATATATGTATGTTTTTAATTTGTCACTTCTTTCATAGAAAGATCCTGCCTATTTTTATGGATATGTGTATTTTCGACAAGTTCGGGATAAAACTCTAAAAAGAGGCTATTTTCAGAAGGTAATTTTCATATATATTAGTGGAAACATTTTTATATCATAGTTAGAAGAATAGAAATTATTAGAATGAACAGTCAAAGTTTCATATTTCATCTTTAAACATACTGGAATTTAAATTTTATCTTTTTTTTTTTGATTGTAGACATCTGCCCTTAAATTTTTAACTGCTATTGAATATTGCCTTTCTGCTATCTATGTGCTAGATTCCTGACAGTAAGTTACAGTTACTGTATGAAACTGTCAAAACTCAGAAGAATCTGTTTAATTTTCACATTTTAGAGTAAGGGGAAGAATGAACAGATTGTGATATAGTTACAGTGAATAAAAGTCTGTAGTATGTTTTTTCGAAGAGCCACTAAATATACTTGACCAACCTCTTAGGCATTACTGCTCCCACTCTAAATGTATAATTTTGTTGTTTCTATATATATATATCAGTTAGTTCCAGTTTGATCCCAGCCTACCGGGACACACTGTTACCTACTGGAACTGGAACCATGCCCTGGCCATGTATTGATGATGGAAAGGTGAAAAGTAATTTTCAAGAAAAATAGATTTTTTAAGAAATCAACATAATCCGTATCTGAAGTGATCACAGAATATGAAGTGACAATTTTTAAGAATGTGGCTAAAGCCATTGAACCCTAAAATATGACAGTCATAGGTTTTAGTTTGAAAAAGCATCATCATTTGCATTTTCTTTATTAGGAAGAGTTTATCTGGCTAATTCCTGATATTGCTTTGCTGACAAAAATAGTAGCTAGGCTTTGAAATTATCCATGATATTGATTTGTTTATAGGAAATTCTTTTTCCTGGAGAGCAGAAAAATCTGTGACTATGTGTTTATGTAGTAATAAGGTTAAACTTCAGTTTTCTGCCACTCTAGTTTTATATTCCTTTTAACTATCTACTGTCAAAGCCTTTTTATTTTAAAATCCACACTTTTTGCTGAATTTGGCTTATTAGTAATTGATTACATGAGAAATTACAAATTTAAATTATAGTCATAGGGAAATTAAACATACTGTTTTTTTCCCCTTCCAGTCCTTGGTTTTGATCAGCAAACTACCTTATATTCATTTTTTTCACACTGTGCTCAAGCAGATAGCACCAGAATATTTTGAGAAGAATGAACCTTATTTGGAAGCAGGTAAGTTAAACATTGAATGAGTTATGTTCTCTATAAAGGAGTTTTAAAATTTTTACTGGAAATGATTGAAAAAAAGTCAGTTAAGAATTTTGAGGGCTATGTGATGGAGAGATGTCAAACTATGCTTCTGGCATATTTACCTACAAACAACAAAGACGCTATCTTTTATTATCTCCTTTTGAAATAAAGATGATGCTTATTTTTTGGATAATAAACAAATACTGAGTTGCCAATTCTGATACTTAGAGTATTATTAAACAGAAACCCTATGTCACTTGATACAGAAAGAAGACTTCCGCTCGTTTGCTTTTATAGCTGATTTTAGTAGTAATAAATAAGAAAACTTCTTTTAAAACCGTTTAGTGTCAAAGCATTTGTTAGCCAATTTATATCCTAGAATGTTGGTGTGTATCTTGTGAAATATAAGTTATTTCAGTACTTTTGCCATTTATCTTCCATCCTTCCCAGTGTATTTTTTCTGCCGTATAGAGAGCAAAGAGTGGAGTTCTAATTTCTAATATTTCATTTTTAATATTTTAGTATTTCCACTTATACTAAAGAAATATTTTACTATATTTTCAGCTTGTAATGATGTTGATCGATGGCCTGCACCAGTGCCAGGGAAAACATTATACCTGCCTATTATGGGGGTAGTCATGAAGGTAATGATAGCCTGCATTTCATTTGTCTCTTTTTTTAAAGAACTGTAGGAAGTTGACACATGCATTTTGCTTTTTAACTTCCTAATAACATTCAGTGCTATTGCTGCTTTCACTTCTTTGTCATTGATGTAAGGAATTGCAGAGATACCACAGTTTATCCTGCTGCACAAAACTATTTGTCACACAACTCCGCAGCTCACCAGTCCTGTCTTCATCCTGTCGAGTGTGAGGATGGTGGTGTTATTCTGATGTAATACTTGTGAATGTGAATGCCACCTCCTAGAATTGTACAGCTTCCTGGTCCTCCAGAGATGGATGGTATCGCAGAGCACTTGTAGAATTGAGTATGAGTTAGTAAAATTTAAAAGAAATTAGGAAAGCCATTGATTCTCAGTCTTATGAAATCTTTTTCATGTGTAATTTCAGGCTGACATGTCTCTGGGTATTGTTCTCTATGAAGCTGTGTGTTTTTTGTTTTTAATATAATGAATTAACATTTTGTTCTCAAGGTTTGTGTAAATGTGCTCTAAGTGCTTTTGCAATCCATTTTCAAGTTGGACTTATTTTTGGCAATGTTCTCTCTTTAAATGTCCTCATTTCTGTACAATTTCTGTTCTTTTTTTCTCCCCCTCCTAAATAATCAAAAGTTGCTCTTGGCTGAGAGTTCTCATGGTTCCCTGTGAGATATATCCCGTAGTTTGGCAAGCTGGAGAGGGTGTGTTTGGGTGTGTGTATATTAATGAAGCAAAGACTGGAGCAATGAGCAGGAAGCGGTACGTAGTTGATGTTCTTTTCTGTCTTTCAGCACATTTGCTTCTCAGTGGGTTAGTGATTTCTGTGTGTGGGAATGTGGAGACCTTGGTTCACTTACCTTCTGCTGTGACTAAAAATATATACAACTTTTATTTTGAATCTGACATAAGTGTTTTCTTTTCATGGCTTTTTAGACATTGCTGAGTATACCTTTCAGCTACAGGATAGACTGAGTGCTTCTGATCCCTCCTTGTAGTGGCGCTACAAATTACTGTATAAAAAAAGGTCATTTTTTGGAGCCAGAGTTATTTTCTTCTCTTTCAGGTTCGGATTCCCACATGTCACGACAAGCCTGGGACAACTCAAATAGTGCAGTTAACTCAGCAGGTAGTATGGTACTGTGGTAGAATAATCCAGCATATATAGTCTCTTTAGCAGAAATTTTCAACTAGCAAATTTAGAATTTCTTAGATTTATGTTACATTTCTGAATATCACTGAAATATCCCATTAAATAATTTTTAATGAATTGATAAGAAACTTCCTAATGTTGCTCCGAATTTTGTTGTTGTTCTTTCTCTGGTAGACACTGGAGAACTCAGAATTTTTATACTGTAATTGTGAGGACAAGGAAAAAACTATCTTTTGAAAAAGATTAAACAAGGTTTGATTCTAACAAAATCTCTAATCTTAGAAGAATGGTCAGCAGACTTCTGTTTTGAGGAAACTTAATCAAAAGGATTCTGTAGTTATTGCCTTTCATTTTCCCCACAGTTACATTTGTTTGTGGGTGAGGATGAATTTTTCATTTGAAATTATTTAACTGGTATATTAGCACTCCCATTTTTCTTTGAATTAAATAAAAATGGAGAGCAATAGGAAAACTAATTTTGCCTGTTGTATATATCAACTGGTATTATGGAAGTATTTCATACAGTTGAGAATTAATCTGACATCTGACTACTGGATTAATGCTTTATCTGTGAAATCTGTCATTCTTGACCTTCTGCTGTGTTAGGGGAGACTGATAACACCCATTCTCTTTGTGGCTGCTTCTGGAGGAAGAGAATCCTAAAAGACAGAGAGGGCAGCATGGCTTACTGATCATGAGTTAGATTTTAAAAACCAGTTTCTATAAATTTCAGTGACATCTTGTCTATTTGTCTTTTTTATCTCTTAGGGAGATGCTCATATATCTGTTATTTTACCTACTGTTCATGAAGTGGATCTTTTCAGGTAAAGAATAAAAAATTTTCTTAACTTCCTTGTCTCATTTGCTTTATGATATTGTTATTAATTTCTTTAGAAAATGAATGTTCCTATATCAAATGTGGGAAAAATTGGAAAAAAAACAGTCATTATGTTTCACATGTTGTAAATCAATGATTCATTCCTGACTGCACATCATTTGCTTTGACTCCTAGGAAAATTTGTATATGGACAGAGTATTACATAGTAGAAACAAATTATTTTTTTGTTTGGTTGGGTGTGAGAATAGTAAATGATATTTTTTTCCCAGGGATGGCTTTTTTGGGGGACTTGCAGGTGGATTGGGAGCATAAAACATGATTCTCCAGAATGGGAATATAAAAGTGGTACTAAAGAAAGATTTTAGCATTTTAGACATTTAGCTCTGTCATTTCCCTACAGAGCCCTCACTATAGTAATTAACACTGCAGTTAATTTAATGCATACCACCAGTGTCTATTAGAGGTTTCCTTTCTTGAATTTTTTTTTCTTTTTTTTTTTTTCCTTTCTTGAATATTTAATACTTATCTCCCTCTCAATAAAAACTACTTTGTATAACAGATATTACTAGTACAATACAGAGCTTTCAGAGAGTGCTTCATCTTGTAACTTTACTTCTTATCTGTTTGTGCCCTTACATACTGAGGGCAGGAGGAGAGGGACGACGGAGGATGAGATGTTTGGATGGCATCACCGACTCAATGGACATGGGTTTGGGTGGACTCTGGGAGTTGGTGATGGACAGGGAGGCCTGGTGTGCTGCGGTTCATGGGGTTGCAAAGAGTTGGACACAACTGAGCAACTGAACTGAATAACATATTACTGTACTTGAGAGAAGAACTAGTTTGCAACTTTGATGCCTTAAGGGCATCCCATGATTACAGTCAGTTGGTCAGATGTTTTTCATATAGGTCTTTTCCATTTTTCCTTGTTTATTTTAAAATTTTATATATATATGTGTGTGATATATATATAAATTATTTAAAATTATATATAATTATATACATTATATGTTTTAAAAATTTATAAATTTTATATATTCCACTTTTCTGGAAGCTCATGATTATTTCAAAATTTTATGTATTTATTTATATAAAATTTATACATCTATAAAATTTGGAAACAATCACAAATTTACAGGAAAGTGGTAAGTGCAGTACAGAAAACTTTTTCTTCATAGAACCAATTTATAGCAGTTGGAGACCTGATGCCCCGATCTTCCCTTAATACTTTAGTGTCTATTTTCTACAAATAAGGACTCAGTGCAGCCATAAATATTGGGAAATTAATAATGGTAATACCATCTCCTACTAAGATCACATTCAAATGTCGCCAGTTGTCACAATAATATCTAGTTCAGAGTTGTCTGCTGCATTCAGTTGTCATGTGTTTTCAGTCTCTCTTAGTCTGGAACATTTCCTCAGTCTTCCTTTCATGCCCTGACATTCTTGTGGATTACAGGACCGTTATTTTATAGGAAATCCCTCAGCTTAGGTTTGTCTGGGGTTTACCTGTGATTATTTTTAGGCTCTCTGTCTTTGGTCAGGAAATAACCAAAGCTTGCCTTCTTACTGATAATGCTTACTTTGATCAGTTCATTAGTTTGGTGTTCTCCAGCCTTCTCCATCAATAAGTTTTTCTTTTTCCTTTTGTATTGTTTTTATTTTTGTGGGTTTTTTTTTTTTTTTTGCCTTTCCTTCACATATCTTTTCTTGCCTTTGAGTAGTTAAAATTAACTTTCCCCAACTTCCAGCTCACAAATTTGTTTTGTATTTTTGTACTTAAAAGGTACTTATGTTTTTTTTCTTTCTTTTTCTTTCTTTTGTGTATATGTTTTCAACTAGGTACATCAGTTGTGATTTTTATAAATAGATAAGTAGTTTTCCTCTAATCTACTAGGAAAAATTTTGACCCAGCTAGGAGGAAATTGCTAAATTAGTAAAAGTTACTGGACGTAACTTAGGCTAGGTAATGTACCAGAGTTTTGTTCCTACATGCTTCTATCTAATTCCAGGGCTACTGTAAAAATGTGCAGCATTTCTGTAGGGAGAGGATCTTCCTAGGAAATCATTCTGTTATTTGGCACTAGAACCCCACTCCATTGTGATTTCTTTTCATCTGTCCTCTAATGTTGTAAGCATTGACATTGAAATTAAGTGCATCTAGTAAACATCCTTTAGAAAGTTAATTTTTTCTTGTTTCCTTCAACATACTTAAGAAATTCAAATGTAACAAAGCAATATTAATAAACTAGATATACCATATGGTATAGTAATTTAATAATTATCTTGTATGCTTTTATTGTTAGCCATTCTGTGTGTCAGTATATTACATTTAATTTTGTAAAAATTGGGATAAAATCACTATATATTTTATGTGGATAAAAGGAACTTATATCTCTATGCATCACCATATTCTATGTAAATAGATTTGTATATCAGTTCAAGGTATTCATAGCTATAAGAGTTGTATCAATACGAAGTTTTTAGAATCACTATATAGGAACTTAAACCCTGGATGGATAAGTAAGACTGTCTCTTCTGTGTAAACACCTTCCAGGTGTTTCTGCCCAGTTTTCCTTCATAGTCAGATGCTTTGGGAGCTGGTGCTGTTGGGTGAGCCCCTCGTGGTCATGGCACCGTCACCATCAGAGTCTTCAGAGACTGTTTTGGCACTTGTTAAGTGAGTATATTTGGTTCCTGATGGTGATAGTTACAACACTTTACCATCTGTGATTGTTTGCACACTCATTGCATCGATCTACACAATAACCTGTGAGAAGGTAGTACTCATTATAGCACTGTTTATTGATGAGAAAATTAATTCAGGCTCCATTAAGGCTGGAACCATGTTTTGTTTTTTTTTCTGAATAATAGGCACACTCATTCACTCACATAAAGTTAGCACCTGATATCAGTAGTGCGAATGTTCAGTGTCTAGTAAAAGGCATGTAGTTAGTGAATGACAGAGTCAGAATTTCACCCCAACTTCTCTTAAATCCAATGTGTTTTCTGTGTTTTAGCCACTGGGTAATTACATATCACCATTTGTCCTGAAACAAGCTTATCATTTATTGAAACAGATAAGTGATCTCACTGGGGTAAACTCTGTGCATAGAGGTTTTATAGTTACTGTGTAGGGCCTGTAATTTCTGTCCTTTGTTTCACATGTGTTTCTTGCTCCACAGCTGTATTTCTCCATTAAAGTACTTCAGTGATTTCCGGCCTTATTTCACTATTCATGATAGTGAATTCAGAGAATATACTACTCGTACTCAAGCCCCGTGAGTAAACAAAGTAACTTCTGTTGACCAAATATTAACCTTTACAACCAAGGTATTTAGAATTATTTTTGGTAATAATTTAAAAGTTTAAATTTTGAACTTATTGCCAGATTGATTTTGTAAAGGTACTTTTGAGGAGCAGCTGGTAATAATTTCACATTTCAAGAGTCAGAATCTTCTATAAATGATCTGCCTTACCAGTGGAAGCCATAATTGTCATTAATAGCTAGCTACCCAACTATGCTTTTAGTTCTATCTTTGTTCTTTACTTCACGACCTCTTACAGCATCAGTTATCTTTTCTTGCTCTGTAAATTCCTCTTTCTTCCCCTTCATCATTAAATCACCATGCAAACATATAAAAATTCTTCTCAGTCTATAAAAGGGGAAAAAAATATCTTACCTTTCCCTCTTAGCCCTTGCTCTATTGCTCACCTTTTTTTCATAGCCTAGTTTCTAGAATAACAATAAAAATTTCCATTTACTGCCTCTACTTCTTGGTTTCCTAGCTGCTTCTCAGTTCATTGCAAGTTGATTTCTCTGTCTCTGCTGAAGTTAAGAAGACCCTTCTCACTGCCTTGAACCTGTGGACACATTATTGCCCTGTTTTTTTCTGCCTTCCCTTTTCTGGTGACATTCAATCCATTGACCTTGAAAGCACGTTCATCTCTGATGCCCTCTCACCTGACTGTCTGCTGGTGCGCTGTCTTCTCTGCAGACGGCTCGTCCTCTGCCAGCCCCTTAAATGTTGGTTTTCTCCAGTACTGTGTTCTGGGTTCTGCTTTCAGACCGAGAATTCTTCCTGAACAGTCTTATCTGTACCCACAGTCTCTTAACACCTGCATAATAATGACTGAAATTTATCTTCCTAGTTCAGATCTTTGCGAGGTCTCGACCTCTATCCAGGTTTTTGTTTTTGTTGTTTTTTACTGTGTTGCCACCTGGACATCTAATGGCACCTAAAACTAAACATGTTCAGACGGATATCTTTTTTTCTCCTCATTTTCTCCCTAGTTCCATGCCTCTTCCTGTTTTCAGGAATGGTACTTCTTTTTACTTAGTTATCAAAAACCTGAATTGTCATAAATTTCTTCTTTTTAATATGCTCCACATAAAGTTTACCCAAATTCTGCCAGTTCAACATCCTAAAATATCTGTCATAAATTTGTTATCTTTTTCCAAAGCTCTTTTCCCAGTCTTACTATTTCTAGTCTTTTTCATATCTGCTGTTTCTTTTTCCCAAACTTCTTCCCCTTTTTGTAGAGCATCTTCCAAATCTCCCAACCAAGTGATCTTTCTAGTAAGTACATTTTTATTTATGCAACATTCCTCTACTTGGTTCTCTAGTAGCTTCTATTTGCCTGCAAGATAACATCTAAATTTCCTAGCATATAAAGTTGGTACTTGATGATCGGGCTAGCATCTGCCCATCTGCTTTCATTTCAAACTGTTCATGCTTCCAGCTTTGTGCTTTAAGAATGCTGAACTATATGTAGTTTTACAAATAGACCATGATCTCACTTCATGGCTTTGCACATACTATTCATTCTCATGTATCACTTTTTTTTCTTTTATACCCTTGACAAAAAATTCCTGTCATAACTTATATACTATTATATATCAACTATAGTTGAAAACAAAACTCCTATTCATTTTTCCTATCTCTGTACACATGTCATTGTTTTAGTGAATCTGTCCTTTAATCCCCTGGCAGATATAGTTTCTCCTTTGTAATTCTTGTACATTTTATATCACCTTCACTGTATTCTAATTTCTGATATTATAATTGGGTATGTATACCCTTTTTCCTGTGTGGTTTAAGAAAAGCCATGTCTTTTCATCTTTATATACCTCATACCAAAAATAGTACCTGGCATGTAGTTGATATGTAGTACCAGTGAAGGAAAAGATTATCTATTGTTCACCCAAAATAAATAGTAAACTGATGGGACATGCGTTTTTTGGTGATTCTGGCTTTCTTCTGTTTTTATGTAGGCCCTCAGTCATCTTAGGAGTAACCAACCCTTTTTTTGCAAAAACACTCCAGCACTGGCCACACATTATTCGAATAGGAGACCTTAAACCTGCAGGTAAAGTTCTTGGTGTTCTTGTTTTAGTGTGTAGTGTGGATGAGCAGGTTTATTCCTTCCTGTTTGCTTTCATTGCTTGGTTACTTTTTAGTTATGTTGATGGCAAACTTCTTCGAGGCAACTGGAATAAAAGCCTTTGGAGAAGAGCATGACTTCCAGTTAAAATACACAGGTTCTTATATGTGTAACCCATCATATCCTCCTACCAGAAATGCACCTACAGTGTTATATGAATTAATTATAACAAAATGAAACCTCAAAAATTTAAGCTACTATATATATATTTATTAGTATAAGCCCAATTAAACAAGATTTTTCCAACACTGCTTGAATAAAACCTTAAAGAAAGTTCAAGTTACTCAGTTTAACACAAAATTCTCAACTAGGAACTGAAAACAAGAATCATACATTTTTGTGGTACTGCTACTGATTAAAGAAGTGGCCACAGGTTGTGCTTTCATTGAAAAAAGAGACATGTAGTACCTTTCCATGGGCTTCGCTTGTAGCTCAGTCAGTAAAGAATCTGCCTACAATGCAGGAGACTGGGGTTCGATTCCTGGGTTGGGAAGATCCCCTGGTGAAGGAAATGGCAACCCACTCCAGTATTCTTGCCTGGAGAATCCCATGGACAAAGGAGCCTGGCAGGCTGCAGTCCCTGGGGTAGCAAGAGTTGGACACGACTTAGACACTAAACCAGCACCACCTTTCCATGGTACCTTTCCATTCATGTTTAATGAATGTTTATTAAATGAGTAAATAAATTCTAACCATTGGCAATTTTATTAACCTAAATGACAGTTTAGTGGTACCTCTGACATTTTCTCACTGGACATTCTTGAATTTTCTATGCAAATAGTTAAGATGTGAGCTATCTAAAATGTTCTTTTAATGATTTTATGATATGTTACTTATAAAGACTTTTCTTTTGGTATTCATGGGTATTTTATTTAATACATTATTTATTTAGATTGTTTTATAAAATATCCTTCCTGGAATATAAATAAATCTGATAGACATATTAGAGTCAGGAAATAACATTTTAAATCCTGTTATTTACAAATATTAGACTCAATCTTAGACTGAAATCCTTAGAAGCCTTATGAAATAGGGGAAAGGGCAAAGGACTTTACCTTGACAGTCAGATCTGTGTGACCTTAGGCAGAACAGCCCTTTAAGCCTTGGATTCTTTGTCTGCTGGGAGAATTAAACACAGTACTTGACACATGGCACTCTGAAAATGTCAGTGTCATTATCTTTTGACATTTCCTTAGTGTTCCATCTGATAATTCAGAGCACAGCAGTGGCCAGAGTCTTATCTATGAGAAGATATGGAAAGTTGGTTTTTATCATAATTTAATCTGATATTTACTTTTTTATTTTAGTCCTATTAATCTAGACCATTTGATTAATTTTAACATAGTAGACTACTGTTTATTGTCCTTTTTCAATCAGAAAAGGCTATCTGTTGGGGACGTAAGTATTATTAGAAGCTTTTGCAAAGATCATTGGTAAAGTGGCATGAACTGAAAAGTGTGCTTAACTTTTTAAGAAAATTGCAAACTGTTTTCCGCAGTGGCCCACCATTTTACATTCTTACCAGCAGTGTATGGGGGTTCCTGTCTCTTCATGTCACATCCCTGCCAACATTTGATATTATCTCTTCCTTTTTTTTTTTCCTAGTGGGTTTGAAATGCTGGCTTTAATTTGCTTTTACCTAGTGACTATTGATGTTGAGTATCTTTCCATCTACTTATTACTCATCTGTGTATCTTATTTGTGAAATGTTGATTTAAATCTTTTGTCCATTTTAAAATTAGGTTCTTTGTCTTCTTTAGTTATAAGAGGTCTTTATGTATTTTGGACACAGGTTTTTCTCAGATACATGATTTGCAGATGTTTTCTCACAGTATTTGACTTCTCGTTTTGTTTTCTCAATGATGTCTTTAGAAGTGCAAAAGTACTTAATTTTGATGAAGTCTAGTTTATCAATTTTCTTTCTTTTTTGAATTGACCTTTGATGTTTATCTAAGAACTTCTGCCTAGCCTAAGGTCACAAAGATTTTCTTCTATATTTTCTTCTAAAAATGTTATTGTGTTAGCACTTATATTTAGGAACCATTCCAAGTTCATTTTTGTGTATGATGTGGCATTCAGGGTATAACATCATCTTTTTTTTGCACATTGATATCAAGTTGTCTTAGCATCATTTGTTGAAAAGACTGTTCTTTATCCATTGAATTGCATTGGTACCTTTTTTTGAAAATTGGCCATGAACATAAGGTTTATTTCTGGGCTCTTGTTTCTGTTTCATTGATCTTATTTTTATACCAGTATGTCTTGATTACTGTAATTTTATAGTAAATTTTGACATCAGGAGATATAAATCTTCCACCTTTACTATTCTTTCTCAAAATAGTTTTGTCTCTTCTGGGTTTATTTTGGCTATTTGTATTTCCATATACATTTTAGGATAACCTTGTCAATTTCTGCCCACTGGGCAGAAAACAAAAAAGATAACTGGAATTTTGATAGGAATATATTTGGTTACACAAGGAATATGTAATCAACTTGGGGGAGAAGTGCCATCTTAAAGATACTGAGTTTTTCAGTCCAGAAACTTAGAATGTCTCTCCGTTGTTTAGATATTCTCTAATTTTTCTCAGCACCATTTTTTAGTTTTCAATATACAGGTGTAATTATGATGTTAGATGTAGGTTTTTCATAAATGTCCTTCATCAAGTTGAGGAAGTGCCTTCTGTTCCTACTCGATTGAGAATGAGTATAATGAATTGGTGTTAAATGTTAAATGCTTTTTCTATATATGTGGAGATCATCATGTGGTTTTTGTCCTTTATAATAAAGTATATTGAATTAATTGATTTTTTTAATGTGAAACTAACCTTACATTCCTTAAATAAATCCCATTTGGTATATAGTCCTTTATTATTATTATTACACGTAATAATAATATCACACAGAGTGATACATAATTACACATAATAATATTACACATATTATTATTATTATTATACACAGAAAGTAAACACATTTTCCTGTTCTGTGGGTTGTCTTTTCACTCTCTTGATAGTAGAGCCTTTGATGCACAAAACCTTTTAAACTGCGACGAAGTCCAGGTTCTCAGTATTTTCCTTCGTTGTCTTTGGTTTTGATATCACATTCATGAAAATCCATTTATCTTTTAATTTATGAGTATTGGGTATATTTCTTGGGATATTTTTCCTTTCTGCCCATTGATCTTGAGACCAAGACCACTGCAAATTTCTCCACAAGTTATAAAGCTTAACAGGTCTGCTTGGAATCCTCACTTTGAAAATTCAAGACTATCGAAGTGGATCAGTAAAACTGCAGAAAAAGTATGTTCTGTCCAATTAGCTGGGAAGGCATAGCGAAACTGAGATTTTGCTCTTCTGGGCCCAGAAGCTTGTAGCTTTATCAGAAATGTGTGTGTGGTTTTAACCCTGTGTGTGTGTGGTTTTAACCCTGTGTGTGTGTGTGTGGTTTTAACCCTGTGTGTGTGTGTGTGTGTGTGGTTCTAACCCTGTGTGTGTGTGTGTGTGTGTGTGTGTGTGTGTGGTTTTGACCCTGTGTGTGTGTGTGTGTGTGTGTGTGTGTGTGTGTGTTTCTAACCCTGTGTGTGTGTGTGTGTGTGTGTGTGTGTGTGGTTTTAACCCTGCGGAAGAGTCATGAATAAGGGATTACTCCTTGTGGATTGTACCCAGTTTGAATGCACCCAGATCCTATTAAATGAAGAAACATAATGCTAGGATAAGGTACTTATTAACAAGTACTCCTCAGAGAGAAAGTAATTCTACTACTGAATATTGGATCAAATTATAAACTGAATTTCTAACTAGAAATTGGGTTTGATGATTTCATGAAAGGTGAAACATTTAACGTAAATATAGAAGATTCTTAGGCAAATATGCAGAGGTGCAATACATTATTAACAATGTTAAGCCCCTCTTTTATGTGCTTGTACATAACAGACATTGAATAAGTATTTTTTAATTAAAATAAACATCTATAATTGTAAGACTTTAGTTCATTTTCTGGCATTCTTGTTTTATTTTTCAGATGTATGTGACAAATATTTAACCTTTTTTGGTAATAGACTGTGTATATTTATTTATTTATTTATTTTTATTTTTTATTTTTTTATTTTTTTCATTTATTTTTATTAGTTGGAGGCTAATTACTTTATATCATTGCAGTGGTTTTTGTCATACATTGAAATGAATTAGCCATGGATTTACATGTATTCCCCATCCCGGTCCCCCCTCCCACCTCCCTCTCCACCCGATCCCTCTGGGTCTTCCCAGTGCACCAGGCCCGAGCACTTGTCTCATGCACCCAACCTGGGCTGGTGATCTGTTTCACCCTAGATAATATACGTGTTTTGATGCTGTTCTCTTGAAACATCCCCCCTCGCCTTCTCCCAGAGTCCACAAGTCTGTTCTATACATCGGAGTCTCTTTTTCTGTTTTGCATATAGGGTTATTGTTACCATCTTTCTAAATTCCATATATATGTGTTAGTATACTGTAATGGTCTTTATCTTTCTGGCTTACAAAAATATGGAACGCTTCACGAATTTGCGTGTCATCCTTGCGCAGGGGCCATGCTAATCTTCTCTGTATCGTTCCAATTTTAGTATATGTGCCGCCGAAGCGAGCACAGACTGTGTATATTTACAACTAGTTTTCTGTATGTCTGTTGTGTACTACAGTGTAAGGATTATGGTGCCTAGGGTTAGAGTTCCGTACACATCTTGCATCTGATGAGGTTCCTTGAATCAGAGGGGAATTGTGGCTAGTGAACATTGCTGCACAGATGATATTCTTGTCTTTGCCCTTAGATATAAAAGCAACACTGATATGGATTACTCATTTTCATTATTACCTAGAACTTACTGAATGTAAAGAATATATAAAACCTACTGCTGAATTATTCTCCTTCCTGATATTTGGCTTCTTGTGCACGGGGAGTTTCAGGAAATGATATAATAAATGGCATTAGTGGATACAAGAATTGCAAAGTCCTTTGTGATTTGGAGCAGAAGGAAACAGAAAGTAGGCACATAAATATTTAGATTTACTCAAACTACATGATATTCTTTGGGTTCTTAGAGTCAGAGGCAGATAAATGACTTGAATTTAGTTATCTGTATAATTAAATATGTATTATATATCTGCATCTTAACAGAAATCTGATGAAAAGCTCCTCTGAACCCCGGAAAGCAAAACCACAAGATAAGATTCAAGATGAGAGACATTCTCATAAGAATTAGTATTTGGGAATGTATAGAATAAGTTGATAAAGTAAAAACTGTGAGCTAAAGAATCAAAAACATTCCAGAAATCTGAATGTTTCTGGACTCTTATATTCTTTCTCAATCTGTCCCCAAAGTCTCCTCTCTTTATCTCCTCCAGACAGCTTCAGTAGCTCACTTTCTTCTCTTCCCTTGCTGCACATATCTTCAGATTGTGTTTCTGCCCAGGAGAAATATTCAACAATGCACATTTTATCCTCTATCTTTATGTTTTATGTCGTACTCCTTTGTGCATTCCCTGGTCAGTAACCCAGAGTCAGGCCACTTGTGGCTCAGATTTGTGGCTGTGCCTCCCACTGTCACCGCCTGGTGGCAGTGTTTGTACACTGCAGAAGCAGAACTTGGGGCCGTGCCAGAAAAAAAAACAAACCTTGACTATTACAACTGCGTATTAATGTAGGAGTTGCTTTGAATTCTGTTTACTCTTAAATGGCATTATACTTGACATCATATTCAAAATGGTATTTTAGTCATGTTCCATATACTTAGCACAAAAGATTTTAAAGCTTAAGTGGAGTGATGAGAAGGGAAATTTTAAAGTAATGATCAGTAATTGTAAATCCATGGCTAATTCATTTCAATGTATGACAAAAACCACTGCAATGATGTAAAGTAATTAGCCTCCAACTAATAAAAATAAATGGAAAAAAAAATTAAGTAATGATCAGTATTAATGAAATCAAATATCCATTTAATATAATTTACACAGATTATTTCTGTAATGCTGTTAGAACCCAGTGTTCCTTTTATCCAGTTTTAAAGTACTAGTAATAAACTCTTAAATATCAATAGATGTTAACAAGAATACCTTAGCTGCAACATCCCTGACTAATAAATAACAGCCAGTGGATTTTCAGTCTTAGAACATTCCAGTTTTGTGATATGTGAAATTCAAATAACTACAAGAATCTTTATGATGTTTCCTTCAGGTGAAATACCTAAGCAGGTTAAAGTGAAAAAACTGAAGAACCTAAAGACTCTGGATTCTAAACCTGGTATTGGCTTTTACTAGTTTTTAAATATATACTATATGGGTAAATAGGTCCTACTGCTTACCTTCTTTTCTTTTCTTTACTTCTTAGGAGTTTATACTTCTTATAAGCCATATCTAAATAGAGATGAAGATATCATAAAACAATTACAGAAGGTGATTACTTGCTCATGTATTAATTTAAATGTTCTTACTCAGGTATGCAATATCCAGTAAGGCAATATGTGCTTTATGTGCAATCACGTGAAAAGAGGTCTCTCTTCTGAATGAATGCCTCATAAAAATCAGGAGACTAATGTAGCAGCAATTATGGGCTAGAAATATGGGGGCTTCAGCTACCAACTAGTGCCAGTCTTCCTGAAAACTTAGGAATTACAGTGAAAAAATTATGGACTGTACTATAAGGTAGCTTAGTGCCTGACATTTGGGATAGTTAGCATTTTTTTGGGAAATACATAGTATTAATACAGCAAGTATGAAATAAAGATAGTCATTGTGAGCTAATATTTTAAAGGATTGGATGAATATTTTATATTTTGTTCTAAGGATTTTTTAATAGGATATTGCATAGTGAATTTCACATTAAATTACTTCAAGATGAAGTTTATATCAAAGTTCATATCAAATAAAAATCCATAAATTTATATATCAGCTAAGCTTCTATAATCATTCATTATTTTCTATTCTCTGACACTAGAGTCTAGGTTCTCATTTTTCCCTCTTTTAAGGGTGTACAACAGAAGCGTCCTTCTGAAGCTCAAAGTGTTATCCTCCGACGCTATTTTTTGGAACTGACACAAAGCTTCATCATTCCATTAGTAAGTGAGCATATGTATTTGCTTAATTTAATGATTTGTTGAAGAACACATGATGTTTTTTCCATCCACCAAAACCTTATCTTAAATTGTTCTGGTTGCTTATGTGTGTAGTGGTTAAAATAGAGCTCTTTGCAAGATACCCAGACTCTTGGTTCTGGTAATTAATTGTGTAATTTTGGTAAGTCACTTCCTCTCCTTGACTCTCAATTTCTTTATGTATAATATGTAGCTAATTACACTTTTGCTAAATATTTTTCAGGGTTGTGAATCTTAAAAGATAATCATTATGAAATGTTATATAATTGTTGCATTCTGCACATTAAAATGTTCTACTGGAACTTCTTTCTCTGATATTATTTTCTTGAGCATAATTTGATAAATCTGTTAGCATGTTGTTCTATGATGTAGTTCCTTGTGTGTCCTGTTCATTATCTTTTCCTCAGTCTGTCATATAGTAGCACTCACTCAATAAGTATTTATGAGATAAATGACTAGGTGATATGGTTATTCAGTGAAGTTCAATGGAGCATCATGTTAAATTACTAAAAGATGCCTCACAGTATAAAGTAATAACGTGATGTGGTCCTGGTCCAGAGACTGCATCAGAGAGACTCATATAGTTGCTAATGTAATCTATCTAAGAATATTGTAGGAGGGCAACCTGGAAATCTTTGCTATTATAGTTTTTGGGAAGAAATGTTCTCTCTTGGTCTACAGATGTCAGGTTATATTCTGTTTCAATCTGCTTACTTAGTTGACTGTAATGCTTAATTAAGAGCATGGGCTAAAATCAAGTACACCTGAATTCAAGTTCAAGTTGTATGAACTTACGCAGGTTTTTTAGCCTTTCAATGCCTCAGTTTCCCAGTAATACCTACCACAAGGGATGGTTGCAAAAATTTAAAGAGATCATGCATGTAAAATGCTGAGTAAACTTTCTGGCACACAGTTACTTGATAAGGTTAATTATCATCATTAAAAATAGATATTTCTGGGACTTCCCTGGGGTTCCACTGTAGTATAATAAAAGACTTTGCCTTCCAGTGCAGAGAGTATATAGGTTCAATCCCTGATCAGGTAGCTAATATCCCACATGCCTCTTGGCCAAAAAGCTAAAACATAAAATAGAAGCAATATTGCAACAAATTCAATTAAGACTTAAAAAAATAAAAAGGTAATAATAAGTAGTTCCTTGGATTATCATAGATTTAGTTACATTTTTATTAAAAGTCTGACTTCTCAATTGAGTCTAAAGTTAGTGTATCTATTGAGAAGAGTGATGGTGGTGTTGATCTCCATTGAAAGAGCATATGATAAAACACTAGAAAGCGTCCACTTTTTTTTTTTTTTTAATATTTATTCTTGGGTCTTCCCTGGTGGTCCAGTGGTTAAAAATCCACCTTGCAGTGCAGAGGACACTGGTTCGATTTCTGGTCTGGGAAGATCCTACATGCCGCAGGGCTACTAAGCCCATGCTCTGGAGCCGGAGAACAACTGCTGAAGCCCATGTGATCTAAAGCTTGTGCTCTGCAACAAGAGAAACCACCACAATGAAAAGCCTGCGCATCGCAGCTGGAGAAAGTCCATACCCAGCAACGAAGCCAAAATTAAATAAAATGTTAAAAATACTCATTTGTTTAATTGGCAGGGTCTTAGTTGCATTCAGTATCTTTAGTTGCAGCATATGGGATCTAGTTCCCTGATTAGGGATTGAACCTGGGTCCCCTGCATTAGGGGTGTGGAGTCTTAGCCACTGAACCATCATGGAAGTCCCATGCCCACTTTTTTTAAGTAGGTCAGTTTAAACATTTTTGAAGATGTCTCTGGGCAAGAACAGCTAACTTTAACTTTTTTTTCTTGGACTTAGGAAAGATATGTGGCAAGCTTGATGCCTTTGCAGAAAAGCATTTCTCCGTGGAAGGTATAACTATATCCTATTAAATTCGTATATCAGTTCTCTAACTACAATTAACTTCCATGACTATATCCATTTTTAATTTTTAAATTCAGTATGTCCTGTTTTCTAGAGTCCACCCCAATTAAGACAGTTTCTTCCAGAAGAATTTATGAAAACACTTGAGAAAACAGGACCTCAGCTGACCTCTAGAATAAAAGGCGACTGGATTGGACTTTACCGGTTAGTCCTTTTTTTTTTTTCTTTTCTATTTCATCCATCTATAGAGCTTTATTTAAAAATGAAACAAAAAACTGGACTTAAATATATTCTTTAAAAAAAAATTGATTGTTTCATATGGTTTTCCTAGCTATAGGTAGAAAAGGTATTGAGGAGAGGAAGTTAAGTCATATCAAACTGATTTTTAAAAACTTATTTTTATAGGCATTTTCTCAAATCTCCAAATTTTGATGGTTGGTTCAAGACCCGGAGGAAGGAAATGACCCAGAAACTGGAGGCACTCCATCTGGAGGCTCTTTGTGAAGAGGTTATAAAACAGCATGTTTGTGTGATGATTAACAGCTATTGAAGATAACTCCATAGAGACTGGAATGTTGTATCTATATCCACTACTTTATAAATAATAATAGCTAACTGTTCTAGATCATGTGTGATATGCCAGGGACTGTGCAGATGCTCTTAAGTGGATAAAGTCTTTTACTCTTTGCAGTTCACTGAAGTCGATATGTTATGATCTGCATTATGGTACATTTGAGGATTACAAATTAAGTGATTTGCTTCAGATCACATCACTGCGAAGTAGTGAAACCAGCAGTGTGCTCGAGCCCACTTGCACTGGCTCACAAGAGCTACTTGTGCATCTCTTCCTAGTTCTATATTCAGGGATCTCAGAATGGTAGCTTGAAATCAGCTACAGAGGAATACTTAACCACAAAAACTGGCAAAGCTACAACCTAAGAGACTTCCTGGAGAACCAGTTGTTAAATAGCATACCACTGGATGAAGTTAGGATTCAAATCCAAGCAGTCTAACTTGATATGTTTTCCACCGTGTCTTATTCACCTTTCCCAGTTATTATTGATACATTTTTCCTGTATTTGGACTTTTCCACATTCTATAAATTGTCAGCAGGCTATTTTAAGTTAAGGTACTTTTAAAAATATAAAGGATAGAGACTTCCTGGATGGTCCAGTAGTTAAAAATTTGCCTTGCAGTGCAGGGCACGTGGGTTTGATTCCTGGTCATGGAACTAAGACCCCATATGCTGCGGAGCAACTGAGCCTGTGCTGCACAAGTGCCCTGCAATGAAAGATCATACAGACAAGTAAAATAAATTTTTGTTAAATATACAAAGGATAGTCTCAAAGTGTGTTTAGCCTAAGGTGAGTTAGCCTCAGTTTTAACTTTCTAATCATAAATTCCCAGTGACTTTCAGAGAAAGAATACCGTGAAGATAACCACAGATAAGCCCAGGAAGAGATTATTTGAAGATACAAAGTCTATATCCAGTAATATATTAATGTTCACAATTATCTTGATGTTAGTAGATGTTCCTTATAAATTACTCACTACTTATGGGTAGGGGTTAGTGTTGTATCTTAAGTTCCAAATTTGTTTTTCTTGATTGATCTAAAAGGATCACTTCAGAAAGGAATTTCTTACATACTATTTTACTTCCAAATATTAGACAGTCATTCTGGCTAACATCAAAAAGTATCTGATTCTCACTGTCAGAATAAATACCATGTACAGAATTATTCTTACACTGTAACTCTGTGTCTGGGTTAAAACCCTGTTCCTGTCCTTCCTTCCCAGTAGCTTTGCCTATTAAAAGAGCATGATTTCAATATTATTTTGAGTATTTACTCATTTGGGATTTGTTTATTCTTCTAGGACTTACTTCTCTGGACCCAGAGACACACAGAAGTAGAAACAGTGGACCTTGTATTGAAGCTAAAAAATAAGCTGGTATGTAGCTAAAACGGCCAAAGATCTGTGAGGTTATTTTGCTCTCATTTGAGGTGGTAGTCTGTGATGTATCACATAAGTAAATTTTTAAATGAGAGGACCTATGACTGGTCGGTTGATGGTCACTAAACTGAAAATACTTGTCACTCAAGCAGATCATAATGAAGCCATATATATATATATATTTAGTTATTTACCTGTAGTCTAATGAGTTCTACAGAAAACATTCTGATGTATATTTAATACCACATGGTCTGTACTGGTATTATCTATGTTAGTATTACATAGAAGTTTTTTTTTTTTTTTAACTCAACAATTGTACTGTTAAAAGTGTCATGTTCTTTGCTTTTTTAAAAAATAGATTCTGTTAATTCTGGTCTCAGTCTGAAGTTTTCAAATCTTTGACCATTAAAACTGTTTATTTAGAGAATATACTGTGTTAATCCAGACACAAAAGATAACTTAAATGCTTCCCAAATGTTCCTTGTATAGTTACAGGCTGATCGAGAGCATTTACCTGTGAAACCTGACACTATGGAAAAGTTACGGACACACATAGATGCAATTATCTTAGCATTGCCAGAGGACCTGCAAGGCATATTGCTCAAAACAAGCATGACATGATATTTGCCAAGATTTCCCAGCCAAAAGGACTGTACACCATGAAGCATACTGACATTTCAACCAGATGCACAAGCTCTCGGAGTGGAAAATAGCAGTGAATGCTCGCTACAGGGTTGAAAGACTATACTGTATAAACAGACATTTTTAGTGCATTATTTTTAAAAACAGATACTGTGGTGGTTCCACTTTAATACTGAAACACCGAAAGGCATTTCTATATTTTTAATCATGTTCTAAAGTGCTCTTATGAGAGACCTGTGGGGCCATCAGTTTAAGTGATTCCAAACTGCAGTGCTGGCATTGCAGGTATTTTTTTAAATTGGTGCTTCTTTGCCCAATCATGTTAAAAACTCAGGGGGATATAAAAATAACATTCACACTGGCTGTCTTCTTATGAAGAAGGAAAAGACTGAACTGTCAGACTGTAGTTAGAAGTGATTAATGCTTTTGTAGTGCCTTCCGTGGTCCTACATGTTTCACAGAAGCCCAGCTGCTAGTCTTGAAGCTTTTTCTTAACTTTATTATAATATGTAGTTTTTTTATAAGGCATTTTTTTGAGTAATCATTGCTTAAAAATATATTTTTTGCCTCCTATTGTGTTTACTGTTAGTGGCATTGGTGTTTTTTTAAACTGTCATGTAGGTTTCATTTCATTATTTTCTATACCATTTTCAAATGTAATCTTAGTTTCACTGAAGGGAAGAAGGCATCTAGTATTAATTATGGGAGAGTTTATTTCCTCTCACCCTTTACTAATGGAGCCTGAGTTAATTGGCTTGGATGTCTTTCAAAGACATTCTAATTATAAACCTCATAATCAGCTATTTTTATAAACTGAACTGTTCCTTTTTTAAAGGCATTTTTATGCCTTTTGTGTGATAGTCATTTAAGTGATTCTAAGATTGATTTTTAGCATTATTTGTTTGGTAGGGTTTCCCTGCCCCCCCCAAATTAATATTTCACAGATTACTTTCCCTGCTGTTGACATGGGAACTTTTGCCTGAATCACTGTTGTATCTAAGCTAGTTTTGTTGTTTTTGTTTGCTTCTGTTTTGTTTACAGTATACTACCTTGCCAAAAATAGAAAATTGTGGTTTGGTAGAATAAGGTTCTTTCCCTTGGTATTTGAATAGGAGTGTCCTGAAGAAGCCACTATTTAAAATAGGCATCCATGACATAGCACATATGTGAATTACCCTTTACATATCCAAATTTGGTTGTAGGTTGTAGAAGAAATGGCTTCAGGAGCTATCTCTTAGTCTCTATTGATATAACTCTTTTCTTTTTTTTTAATATAACTTTTAAGGGCACTCCCAGCCTAAGGATGGGTCCTTGGTGTATGTAACTGTGGTCTTCTATCCAAATGTGCCCTTTTCTCATGGATGTAAGTCTCTCGAAGCATACCTCAAAGTCATGGAAAGAATACTGCATTTGAAAGAAGTCATTTGCCTTGGATCACATGAGTTATTTTGTGAAGCAACAGTTGTCCTCATGGAAAAGGGACAGTTACTTTTATATGCTAAAGTATTTAATATCTTCCTGGGAAACCTTATTTAGGTATAAATGGTCATCTTATTATTTTTCAAAAAGGCATATTTTAATAATCTTACAATTTATATGCAGTTTGTGATCAGAGTTTGAAAGTTGTTAGTGTCATATCAAGGAACTTTTAAATTATACCACTACAGGGTGTATCATTTCAAGTTTATTTTGCACAGCTAAAGAGTAGCAAAGGATGCCAGTTAGCATAATAATTGTATCTACATATTTACTATACTTAACAGAAAACCTAACACATATTGAAAACCATATCTTACTTACCTGTTTTATCTATTAATTTCAAATTATGTACTTGTAAAAACAAGTTGAAACTGCTTTGGGAACCTGACCAAGATTGAGTGGTAACTTAATTTTTGTGTGGTTTTTAAAATGGTCTTTTTTTCCTGAGGAGACCTTGGTAAGATCTAGAACCTGCCGTTCAATGCTTGTCTTCACCTCACCAGCATCAGAAGGAATCATTGCTTTCAGGGTGTTGTGTAATGCCTCGTGCCTTCTGCTTTCAGTGAAAGGGGTTTTGAGAAGGCATTTATGGTCATTGCTGAAAACCTAATTAAAGGCCTTGGATTTTAAAGCCATTGGCTATTTTGTATTATTTCTGAGTAAGATTGGAATGCTTGAAAAAAATGCAGGGTAAATGGCACTTTTGCATTACGGGATTCCTTTTAGTTTCTACCTTATTTTTCTGAATTCAAATGAAAACCTTTTTCTACTTACTTTATTATGAACTGGTGAATGCTCCATTTTATTAACAGATCACGTAATTGATTTCATATCTTTCCTGCCAGTGTACTGATTTTTGTGAAGTGTTCTGATGAAAAAAATTTTAGCTTAATAATCTAGGTATTAGATTCTCCATTTGCTACCTTTTTTTAACCTTAAATCTCAAATTTTATTTCTTCCTCTTTTTTGCAAGTAGCTAGTATATAATACTATTCTTCGGATTTTATTTTTTAATAAAATATATTAGATGTTCCTCCTTCTTGAAGTTACTAGGTAACATCCTTCAAAGTAGACTATACAATATGTTGGTACATTTAAAAGAAATGCCATTAAAATGTGTCCTTTTTTCTCATTTGCTCATAACTTAACTCACTTGTTTTTATACACCTGAATTTTACTTTCTTCAAGCATAACTTTAGCGGAAAAAATTTAACTAACTTTCTAGTATTAGTCATTTAAAAACAGATAGTTGAAGAAGAAAAAAAAAATGTTAACTCATAATAATGACTAAATTATCACAAATAATTTATCTCTTCACATATTAAACATATAGAACTTATATGGCACCTACAACTTGGTTGGATTATGGTATTTATTATAATATCAATAGAAATTAGCATTTGTTAATAGAGCTCCAGGAATGTTTTTTCCAATTACTCTTTTTGTTTGTTTGAAATAGAGTTTGATACAAGATGCAGAATCATGATTCCTAAAATTTATCCTGCATCTAACTAGTTTTTAGTAAGATGAGCTTAAGGTTGATGGTTGATTAAATGAAATAAGTTTATGACTTTTATTTTGCAGTTATAATACTGCCTATCTCATGAGGCACAAATGTTGAGGAAAAAAAAAGATGGCAGTAGATTCTGCTGTATCCTAGTCTTTAGTGTTATTTCTGGACTTAGAACACCATCCTTTCTCTTACCCATTAGTTGAATACCATGCTATGCTTTTCTTCAAATTAAGATTAATGTTGTCTAATTATCTTAGGTCTCATTCCATTTTGCTAGTATCATCACTAGGCTTGGGTTCTTTTATTTTTTTAATTAATTTTTATTGGAGTGTGGTTGATTTACAATGTTGTGTTTGTTTCTGCTGTACGGCAAAGTGTATCAGTGATACATATGTACATGTCCACGCTTTCATAGATTGCTTTCCTATAAGGGCATCACAGAATATTGAGTAGCATTCCCTGTGCTATACAGTCGGTTCTTGTTGGTTATCTGTTTTATATGTAGCACTGTGTATGTGTCAGTCCCAGTCTCCCAATTCATCCCTCCCCTCCCCTTTCTCCTTTAGTAACAGTAAGTTTGTTCTTATATCTGTGACTCTATTTCTGTTTTGTAAATAAGTTCATTTGTACCATTTTTTTTTAGATTCCACATGTAAGTGATATCATATGATATTTGTCTTTCTCTAACTTCACTCAGTATGACAATTTCTAGGTCCATCCATGTTGCTGCAAGTGGCATTGTATCATTCATTTTTATGGCTGAGTAATATTCCAGTAATCTTTCAAAGAAAGTATGTACCACATCTTCTTTATGCATTCATCCATCAGTGGACATTTAGGTTGCTTCCATATCCCGGCTATTTTAAATAGTGCTGTAATGACTATTGGGGTCCATGTATCTTTCAGAATTATAGTTCTCTCTGGGTATATGTCCAGGTATTGTATTGCAGGATCATATGGTAGCTGTATTTCTAGTGTAAGAAAGCTCCATACTGTTCTCCATAGTGGTTGTACCAATTTACATTCTACCAACCATGTAGGAGGGTTCCCTTTTCTCCACACCCTCTTCAAAATTTATTATTTGTAGATTTTTTGATGATGGCCATTCTGACCAGTGTGAAGTGATAGCTTATTGTAATTTTGATTTGCGTTTCTCTAATAATTAGTGATGTTGAACATCTTTTCATGTGCTTTTTGGGCCATCTGTATGTCTTTGGACAAATGTCTACTTACATCGTCTACCGATTTTTTGATTCAGTTGTTTGCTTTTTTGACCGTGAGCTGCGTGAGCTGTTTGTGTGTTTTGGAGATTAATCCCTTGTCAGTTGCTTCTTTGCAAATATTTTCTCCCATTCTGTGGGTCGTCTTTTCATTTTGTTTATGATTTCCTTTGCTGTACAGAAGCTTTTAAATTTAATTAAGTCTCATTTATTTATTTTTTTAATCTTCATTACTCTAGGAGGTGGATTTAAAAAAATCTTGCTGTGATTTAGGTCAGATACTTTCCTCTAAGAGTTTAAAGTATCTGGTCTTACATTCAGATCTTTAATCCATTATGAGTTTATTTTTGTGTATGATATTAGAGAATGTTCTAATTTCATTCTTTCACATGTAACTGTCCAGTTTTCCCAGCACCACTTACTAAAGAAGACTGTCTTTTCTCCATTGTATGTTCTTGTCTTTGTCATCATACCATTTCTGCTTAGCCATTAGAAAGCTAAACTTAATGAGTCCCTTATCTTTTTTACTGTTTTTCATATTTTTCCATATCCACCAGGATGAATACTTTGTAGTATAAATTGCTTATATATTGAGATGCTTTTGAAAAATAGTAACTTTATATTCTGGAGTTATTATACTTTCTATTAAGTGAGTGAAGGAAGCTATTGAAATGATTGATTTTTTTGGTATTAATTTTTATTGGCTTCCCTAGCTCAGACGGTAAAGTGTCTGCCTGCAATGCAGGAGACCTGGGTTCGATCCCCGGGTCGGGAACATCCCCTGGAGTTGGAAATGGCAACCCACTCCAATACTCTTGCCTGGAAAATTCCATGGATGGAGGAGCCTGGTGGGCTACAGTCCATGGTGTCCCAAAGAGTCGGACATGACTGAGCAACTTCACTTATACTTGTTTTACAATGTTATGTTAGTTTCTACTGTACAGCATAGTGAATCAGCTGTACATATACAAACATCCTCTTTTTTGGATTTCCTTCCCATTTAGGTCACCACATAGTATTAAGTAGAGTTTCCTGTGCTATATAGTAGTTTCTCATTAGTTACCTATGAAATGATTGGTTTTGATTGAACGAAATGGGTAAATATTTTACAGCCAAAGGCTCTGGTGATAGAACCCAGAAATTTTGTTTTTAAACAGCTTTATTGAGGTATAATTGATGTACAGTAAACTAAACACAGTGTACAATTTGATGTTTTGACATTTGAATACATCCATAGAACCATCAGCACAGCCATGATGGGAATATATCTCTTCACCCCTACCTCAAATTTCCTTATGCTTCTTTGCACTCCATCCTGCCTCCCTTCCCAAACAATCACTGATCTGTGTTCTGTCACTGTAGATTAGTTTGTGTTTTCTAGCGTTTTACACATGGTATATACCTCTTTTTTTGATCTGGCTTTTTTTTTTTCCCCTAACATCTTAAGATAGTATTTATTTGTCTCCCCTCTGTTAAACCCTGAACCAGCTCCTTTCCCCAGGCTCACTGGGGATGTGTAGGAAAAGGATTATACAGGTCAGATCAGACATGGGAGAAAGAGAGGACTCCTCAGCATGGCAAAGAAGATGGACAAGACTGTTATCAAGAAAAAGAAGTCCCATGACCTCCCAGAATGGCATAGAAGAAGAGCTGTTGCATCAGGGAAGAGTTCCTGGCCTAACCAATGATGAGGCTCCCAAACAAAGTCCTAATCGCAGCCATCCCAACTGTGGCAGCCCCAGCCCCAGTAAATCTGCATGCTGTGTCAATGTCCCTGAAATGGCACTTCTTTGGAAGTTATGCCTAGGGATAAGTCAGGTCAAGGGTCCTGAGGCTGCCAAGCTGCTGAGGCTCTGATCTGTCAGCATCTTCAGCTGTTTCATCGCTACTGCAGACAGTGATCCACTCACAGGCACTCCTGACAAGGGAGGGGAGTGAGGGGCTGTGGCAGGAAAAGTGGCTCCCAGGGCAGAGAGTGATCTCACTTCCCTCTCTCATCATAATTGAGATTCATTCATATTGCATGTTTCAATAGGTGATTGTTTTGTTTTTATTGTTAAGTAGTATTCCATTTTATGATTGTAATACAAAATTCTTATCCACTCAGCTATTGATGGACATTTGGGTCCTTTCTAGTTTTTGTCTGTTACAAGTTAAACTCCTGTGAACACTCATAGACAAGTCTTTGTATGGACATATATATCCTTTTCTCTTGGGTAAACACCTTGGAAGCTGAATCAATTGTGGGTGAATGTTTAACTTTTCAAGAAATTGCCAAACTGTTTTCCAGAGTGGTTGTACTAATTTGTTTCCACCAACTGTATATGAGAGTTCCAGTTTTTGCACATCCTACTCAACACCTGGTATGCCCAACATTTTTAGATTTAGCAATTGTAATGACTTATATTGTTGTTTTATTGGGATTGTAAGTTTCATTTCCCTAAAGACCTGTGCTGTTGAACATCTTTCCATGTGCTTTCCATTAGTCATCTGTATCTGTTCTTTGCTAAAGTATCTGTTAAGAATCTTTGCTCTTTTTGAAGACTGAGTTGTTTAATTTCTAGTGGTTGAAGTCTTGATAGAAGTTACTTTTTCATATATGTGACCTACAAAATTTTTCTACAGCTTATGACTTTTTGTTTCATTTTCACAACAGTGTCTTTTGAAGAAACAGAAATTTATGAATTTCTACACAAATTCCTGCTGGTATTTTGATGGGGATTGTATTAAATCTTTGGGTAAATTCTTAATGTCCTCTGATCTATGGACAAAATACATGTCTCCATTTATTTATGTCTTCTCTAATTTCTTAGCAATGTTTTTGTTGTTTTCAAGGTACAAATCTTTCACATCTCCTGTCAGACTTAATCATAAGCCTGTTGTATTTTTGATATTGTTGTAAATGGTGTCATTTTATAAAATTCAGGGTTTTTTTGTTTGTTTGTTTTTGTTGTTGTTGTTGTTTTCCATTTATTTTTATTAGTTGGAGGCTAATTATTTTACAACATTGCAGTGGTTTTTGTCATACATTGAAATGAATTAGCCATGGATTTACATGTATTCCCCATCCCGGTCCCCCCTCCCACCTCCCTCTCCACCCGATCCCTCTGGGTCTTCCCAGTGCACCAGGCCCGAGCACTTGTCTCATGCACCCAACCTGGGCTGGTGATCTGCTTCACCCTAGATAATATACATGTTTTGATGCTGTTCTCTTGAAACATCCCACCCTCGCCTTCTCCCACAGAGTCCACAAGTCTGTTCTATACATCTGAGTCTCTTTTTCTGTTAAAATTCAGTTTTTAACCTTTCCCTAGAAAGTCCAGCTCAAAATTCTAACATATACTTGTATCTTGATGTTAAGATACAAGCCTTACTAAACATTAATCCTAGTAGCTTTATTTTGGCATAGTCCATCATATTCTTTTTATAAATTTTTATTTGTTTTTGGTTGTGCTGGGTCTTCATTGCTGCACAGGCTTTTCTCTGGCTGCTGCGAGTGGGCGCTCCTCTCTAGGTGCAGTGTGTGGGCTTGCTGCAGTGGTTCCTCTTGTTGCAGAGCCTGGGCTCTTGGACATGTGGGCTTCAGTAGTTGCAGCTGCCAGGCTTTAGAGTATTGGCTCAATAGTTGTGGCACATGGGCCTAGTTGCTCTGAGGCATGTGGGGTCTTCCCAGATCAGGGATCAACCCATATCTTCAGCATTAGCTGGTGGATTCTTTACCATTGAACCACCACGGAAGCCCTCCATTGTATTCTTAACATAGGAGATCATGCTGTCTGTGAATAAAGAATGTTTTACTTCACCTTTCCCATCTGGATGGCTTCTGTTTAGTATTCTTGCCTGACAGCACTGACTGGAACCTCCAGTAGAATGTTGAGTAATACTTATGAGACTAGACATCTTTCTTATTCCTAATCTCAAAGCATTCAGACTCTTATTATTAGGTGTGATATTAACTGTAGGTTTTTTGTAGATGTCCTTTATGAAGTTGGTGAAGGCTTCTGTTCCTAGTTTGCTGAATTTTTATCAGGAATGGACTTTGGATTTTGTTAAATGCTTTTTCTGAGCTATCAAGGTGATCATATCATTTTGTTTGGTTTTGTCTTCAGTCTGTGAATATAATTTATATGTTAACACGAATGACTTTTGAATGTTAAACCAACTGTATTTCTGGGATTCAGCCCCAATTGGCCTTGATATGTTATCCTTTTAATACAGTTTTGGGTTTGATTTGCTAAATTTTTGTTTAGAGTTTTTGCATCTGTGTTCATGATGGGTACTGGATTACAGTCTTCTTGTAATGTCTGTCTGGTTTTGGTATCATGCCTTAGAATGAATTGAAAGAGTGTGTCAAGATGGTATCATTTCTTCATTAAACGATGGTTTGTGAGAAGGTATTTACAGTTTCAGTTTTTAAAAAATAGATACAAAGCTGTTAACATTATCTATTTCTTCTTGAGTATGCACTGGTTTTCTGTGTCTTTCACGAACTGCGTCCTTTTCATCTAAGTGGTGGTATTTATGGGTGTAAAATTGTTCATAGTATTTCCTTGTTAGTCTTTTAATATCTGCAGAAACTGCAATGATGTAAACTTTCTCATTCCTTATATTGGAGGCTTATTAATTTTATTCATCTTCTATAAAAGTCGATTTTGGTTATATTGATTTTCTCTGTTTTTCTGTTTTCCATTTCATTGATTCCTACTTTTGTTTTTCCTCTCTTCTGCTTACTTTGGTTTTAATTTGCTCTTCTTTTTTTCAGTTTCTCAAAGTAGAAGCTGAGGTCATTGATCTGAGACATTTTCTCTAACATAGGTTTTTAGTGCTATACATTTTCCCCTAAGTACTGCTTTAGTGACATCCCATAAATTCTGGTTATGTTCTGTATTTATGTTCATTCAGTTCAAAATATCTTACAATTTCCTTTAGGGCTTCTTTGATCCATGGGTTATTTAGAAGCATTATTATATTCCCTTTTTTAAAGAATTATTTATTTGGCTGTGCCAGATCTTAGTTCTGGCACACAGAGTCTTTTTTAGTTGTGACGTGTAAATTCTTAGATGCATCATGTGGGATTTAGTTCCATTACCAGGGATGATGGAACCTGGACCCCCTGCATTCGGACCATGGAGGTTTAGCAACTGGACCATCAGGGAAGCCCCACGTGTGTTATTTCCTTTATTTAAATATTTATAGATCTTTTGAAAATCTCTTTCTTCTTGGTTTCAAATGTCATTTAATGTGGTCTGAGAATATACTTGGTATGATCTGAAAATTTAAGGTTTGTCTTATGGCCCAGAATACAGTTTATCTTTGTAGATGTTCCGGGTACACTTGAGAACAATGTGTATATTGCTGTTGTTGGGTGGAGCGTTATATAAATGTCAGTTAGGTCAGGTTTGTTGAGAGTGTAGTTCATGTTGTTGATTTTCTGCCTTCTTGTTCTGTCAATTATTAAGAGAAGGCTATAGAAATATCTTGATCATAATTGTTAGATTTGTGTATACTCTGCTCACATGTCTAATCTGATATTAATAGAATTCCAGGTTTCTTATGACTAATATTAGCATGATATGTCTTTTCCATACTTTTAACCTACCTGTGTTTTTATATTTAAAATACTTTTGTAGGTAAATATAGTTCTTGGGTTTTTTTCCCTGGCCATGTTGCACACCTTGTGGAATCTTAGTTACCTGACCAGGGATTGAACCTGGGGCAATTGCAGTGAAAGCACCAGGTCCTAAACACTGGACAGCCAGGGAATTCCCTAGTTCTTGCTCTTTCATCCAATTTCACAAATTTTATTTTTTTAGTTGGTATAATTATAGCATTTACAATTACTAATTATTGCTATGATTACATTTGAATCTATTATCTTGCTATTTGTTTTCTATTTGTCTTATCTGCTCTTGTTTTCCTTTTTTCTTCTTTTGAATTAATGGACTATTTACTACCTCATTTTATCTTTTTTGTGGGATTATTAGATATAACTCTTTATTTTTATTACAGCGTAGTTGCTTTAAGATTTATAGTACTGGGGCTTCCCTGGTGGTCCAATGGTCAGGAATGTGCCTGCCAATGCAGGGGTAGTAATGGGTTTAAGCCGTGGTCAGGGAAGATCCCACCTGTCTTGAAGCAACTAACCCCATGTGCCATAACCGATGAGCCTGTGCCCTAGAGCCCACAAGTCACAGCTCCTGAGCCTGCAGGCTGCAGCTGCTGAAGCCCACGGGTCTACAGCCCCTGCTCCGCAGCAAGAAAAGCCACCACAATGAGAAGCTCCCACAGCGCGGCGACAAGGAGTCCTGCTTGCAGCAACTAGAGAAGCTGAGCGCAGCAACAAAGACCTTGCAAAGCCAGAAGAGAAAATCAGCTATGCATTTGTAGCTTACGCGTCTCCCTCAAGTGACACTATGCTACGTCGCATAGAGGATACGGATGCATGGTGTACTTCTGTTTGGCTCTTTCCAGCCTTTGCGATATTACTGTTCATGAATTTTATTTTTCATGTTACAAATACCACAATACCTTATTGTTATTTTTCTTTAAATAGTTTTATTTTTTTTAAATGTTAATAGTAAGACAAAACATTCTTACGTATATGCTATTACACTTAACCTTTTCTGGTGCTCTTTATGCCTTGTGTAGATATTTATGGTATATATTTTTGTAGGTCTTTTTGTGTAGATATTTATGGTATCATTTTCCTTTTGTCTGAAGAACTTTCTTTAACATTCCTTGTAGTCCAGATTTATATCTGAAAATATGTTTATTTTACCTTCTTTTGTAATGATTTTTTTTTTTGCTCGATATAGATTTCCAGGCTTTCCTTTTCTTCCTTCCATTATTTTAAAATG